TGTTACGGGGAATCGACGATTCATTGCGTCTGTGTTTTCCCCTCCTGAAGAACGTTCTGATAACAACAGCAATGTGCTTCGAACGTAAGGCCGATGCATTCAAACAGGACTGCCTCAGCCAAGCATGTTCTAAAGAACATTCCCGCATGCCACAGGAGAGTTTCGTTGAATTTTCTGTGGGTGGGCCTACAGGCAAGCCAGGACGCTTCGCCACTGCTCGACCCATTGCCGCAGAAGGGGCCGGCCAGGGCCCCCGCCGCCGAGTCGCCGCCCCCGAGCACGAACCCAGCCGCGGCGGCCACCTTCTGCGAGGCCTGGCCAGCTGGACGCCGTGCTCGTCACCGCCGACGTCGCCATCGTCGTCGCCGTCGTCGTCGCCGCCGGCCGATCTTTGACGCCGTGGTCGTCGACGCAGTCGTCGCCGCCGCCGCCGCCGACGCCGACGCCGCCGCCGCCGACGCCGCCGTCGTCGTCGGCGACCAACGCCGCGGACGACGACGACGACGACCGTTTTGACGACGGACGCCGACATCGTCGTCGTCGCCGGCGTCGTCGTCGACGGCCTGGCGTCTTCACCGATCGATCGACCGAGGATCAGCATCTGCGCGACGTCGCCGGCGCCCGAGTGGGCCTCCGGAAGCCTGCTGGTACCCCGTAGACCGGCGAGAGACTCCTGGATGCCCTCCGGGCTCGCTGCCGTGCTCGTCGCCGGCGTCGGAGTCACCGCCCCCGGACCTCCTCTCGCCGTGACGAGGTCGCAGCACAGCGCGGTCGCTGACTCTCGGCCTCCAGGGCCCGCCTCTCCGCCGCAGCTCGCCATCGCTCGGACGTCCATTCCCTGTGTTTTTTTCGGTTTCGTGCGTGGTTTTTTCGCCAAATGTTCAAGGATGCTCCTCGATGGTTCTCGCCGAGAAAAAATGCACACGTCCGAGCGATGCCAGGGCAGGATAACCAGAACACCAAGCTGGACCAGCATGCAGACGAGGGACCAAGCCGTCTGCCACGGAGCAGGGGGAGCTCCCGTGGGGCCACCGTTTGCCTGGCGTGTCACAGAAGGGGCGGTGCCGCCGTGCGGGCGCTGCTGCTGGTGCCCTTTGGCGGAACTCGGGCCACGAGACGTGCGGGAGGTGTGCCAAGACGGGGAGCTGGCGCTAAGGGCCTGCCGTCCTATAGACCGTGGGGCCTCGCAGCGTGTGAGGGTGTGCCGACAGGGGTGCGGGGCCGCAGTGCGGGCGCGGCCACGGGGGCCTTAGGTCAAGCTCCGAACGGAGCCACGGAGCGTGTGAGATGGGACTGTGTCGCCATGCGAGCGTTGCCATTGGAGCATTCGGTGGAGCTCCCTTGGGAGCCACGAAGCGCGCGAGGGATGTGCGGGGAGAAACCAGCGCGATCTTTCATGCCACAGACACTGTCCTGAAGATGATCGACGATATCCAGAGCGAGTTCCTCGATCACGTGTCCTTGACAGATGAGGCAGCGGCCTTCTCTTTCAGACATTTCTATGATTTCTATCATCGGCCTTCTCTTTCAGATTTCGCGTGGCAGTGCTCCTCCCATTCTCTCTTCCCTGTTTCCCCCAGCCAACGGGCATCTCGAGAGGTACGGTTTCAAAGCAGACTGGCGCTTCCACAGCAGAGCTCAGGAGGACCCCTTTGAACCGGGCCACCACCCAATGCTTCAGCGGTCGATTTTCGGCATGGTTCGTGTCTTCAATCATCTTCCGCAGCATCTAATCGATTGCCGCTCTGCCAAGTCTTTTCAGAGGGTGCTTCAGAGGGAAGCCAAAGATGCTGCAACTTCTCGCGCCAGCGCGTGGCCGTTGATGTATTCGGCACGCAGCCGCGCCTAACGGCATGTGTATTGTGGTTCGTTTCGAGGGTATGTTCGTAGAAAATGTGGTTGCGTCGCCAGGCGAGCGTTGCCACTGGAGCATTCGGTGGAGCCCCCATTGGGAGCCACGAAGCGCGCGAGGGATGTGCCGGAATGGGCCGTGACGCCATGCAGGCGCTACCAGCGGGGCCTTCGGTGGGGCTTCCTGTGGGGCCACGAAACGTGTGAGGAATGTGCAACAGAATGGGCCGATGTGGCCATGCGGGCGCAGCCACTGAGGCCTTCAATTGAGCTATGGGGCCGCGAAGCGTGTGAGGGATGTGCGGAAATGGGCATGCGAAGGGCAGAGGCAAGGATGGTGGGAAGGAGGGGAAGGAGGAGGAGGAGGAGGGAGGTGAGGTGAGCGACGCAGGCCGACCATGTGGGCGACCTTGAGCCCGTCCTCCCTCAAAGCCAGAGTACTTGCTGGTGCTGTTTCCAGTTGTCCGATGTGCACGGGCGTGGAATGTACAAAGTGTGCTGTAAGCCACAGACTGGTGCTGCATGCCCATGCCTTAGTTCCCCCAATCCCCAAAGCTGCAAGCCCTGAGGGCCGACGAAGAAACCCAAATACGTGCCGCACTCGGCTAGCGGGATGTTCGCCCATCCTGGAAGTCGTTGCTCCGCGCATCTCTGAATTCCTCCAAGGTGTCAGTGCCCAGTGCAACGTGATGCGTTTGTGCAGGTTCAGATGTCAACCAACGATCGAACCAACATCTTCGGTCATGGGCGTGGTGCCTCCAACAAGTAGTATAACAACACGAGGGCAACATCAACCGCAGAAACTCTTACCGATGTGTACGGGCATTCCGCCTCGATGCGATCCAAGAGCACCTCCGCAACTGTGGCGCACAGCAGCGGAGACAACAAACAACCCGGCCGCGCTCCAGATTCAATGGAGAAGCTGTCAGCATGGACAGAGCTGTGCTGGTAACACGACTATGAATACAATGTCCTGAGGAGGTTCATGGCGCGATCTGAGACGCGCATTGCAGCCAGAGCGCCAGGAGTTGAGATCATACGCGCCTGAAATATGGAAGGGAATGCCAATACGAAATCAATCAGCAAACAAGTCCCGGTCTCTTTTGTGAGGGGCGTGATCATGCTGGCCGTGTCCACACCAAGAAGACTAGATCATGCTGCGGCCTGGTAGGAAAACCAACTGCCGAAGTAAGATCCAATTCGCTAGGTGGACCTCTCAACCATTGCGCGCAACGCTCGTGACGATGCAATTGACCGTGTTGACGACGTTCAGCGGGCGGGTGTTGGACGGAATGTAGCTCGTGCTCTTCTTGGCAAGTCGCACGATCATGTTCGCATTGTGCTGGTGTGCATTGGCGTCAGGTTCGTCAAGGTACGCAGCACGAGGTTCTTCTGCATCTTCTTGGCGTTCCACGCCAGCCCTTACATGGGATGCCGCCCTGGCCTGGCGCGGAGTGGCCGCTGTGCCGAATGGCTTGTTCCATATATTTCCTGCGTACTCGCGATCGCCTACTGCCTGGAAGTAAATATGGGGTGGTCGCTCACAGCGCGGGCTGCCGTGGGGGCCCGAAGGAAGAAAGGAAGCCCGCCAACGGTTGGGCGCGTTGGCCCCGACCACCAGCATCTGGCGTTTGCACAGGCCGAGAACGCGCGTGCACGTCGCGGAGCCACTCCGTCGGCACGTGCTGGTTGGAGAGACGGGGTGAATGCAAACGGGGGTCAGTTTGAGCGCCGAATCTTGCAGGATCCTGCAGGGGCTAGTGGTCACAGGATCCTGCAGGGTCCTGCAGAATTGTGCAGGATCCTGCAAGGCCTGACTGACCCAGGTCTGTGCAAGGGAGCATGGAACATCCTGGCCCAATGCGCCCGAAACTGCCGTGCAGTGGACGCGGGGCCCGCGGCGAAATCCCCCTTCGATGCCTCGACCGCCCCAATGCTGCATGCTTGCCGTGCCCCGCGTGAGTTTCTCCAGTCGGCTGGATAGATTGGTGGGCTTCTTTCCCACCGCCACCACCAGAAGACGGGGTGGGAGGGAGTCCTCTTCCTCCTCATATTCCTCCTGCGCATTCTCCACCTCCTTCCCCCTTCAACATATGGTGGTGGTGGTGGTGGAAAACAGGCCCATGATATACTGTTATTGAGGACCGCGGTTTCGAAGGCGGTTTTCCACTCCTCGCGCTGACGATACACGTGGCGCAGCTCGTCCGCGATCTCCTACCTCGAGAGAGCAGCCGCAAGGTTCTGGGAACGCGCGGATGCTTTCTGAGAAGCAGGCGTCCGGGTCCTCTGGATCGACGAACGTACCTGTGTGCGGGTGCTCAAAAAACTCGCGGACAATCTTGAGAAAGTTCACGCCCGCGGCCTGCCGTGATGAAGCCGACGGCGCCAGCAAGTTCGTCGTCGTTGGATGCGGCGGTAGAGAAAGTCTCTCCCAGACCATGCCTTCAGAAACTGCGTGCGCTGCCCGTTCGACCAATCATGACCTGCGGATCGGATTGTCGAAGCCCGGGGGGGGAGATGGAGGAGGAGGAAAGGATGAGGATGAGAAGGAGGAGGAGGAGGAGAAGAGGATAATGAATGAATGAATAGCTCGTGGAGTCCTGCCGTCACCCCTGTCAGACTGCTACAGCACGCTGCTACAGACTTACATACAGAGATATGGACTCTGAGTCGGGTTGCTTCTGCACCCCCCAGACATCGCAATACAGCCAGCGCGCTCCGCACCGAGGCGGCAGTGGCCGTCCTGCACTCCCCGAAATGGGCACGCAACCCCAGGGAGGCAGGCTCCAAAGGCACGGGGACCCTCACCCAAACCCGCCCCCCGACCTCCGACCCTTCCCCTTGCTTTTGGAGCCAGTCTTAGCTCTAGGGGCATATATTATCGGAGTGATAGGAAGAGGACCTGGGAGAGGCGCTGCGGCATAGGTGCTCAGAGCGGGACGATTAAATACCGCTGGCTCCACACTGCCTCGGGCCACGAGCTTACGAAACCGCTCGCTCCCAGAAAAGGCCTCCCTGGTCCTGGAAGAAGAAACAAAACAGGAACGCAAAGCCCCCGACGGGGCCTGCTGACTTGCTGTGTCCTGAGGAGGCGCAGTGGGGGGAGGGAGGATCGCAGGCGGCCCCAGGGGGCCTTCCTCCTCCCTAGGCTCATCAACAATTTCTAAGTCTATGTATGTGTCGAATCTACTGGAGCTACCTACAGCTTGCCCCTCATCCCGACCTCCTCCGCTAGCTTCTTCTCCACGGGCGCGCGTGGGGCCACACCTACTGGGTGGGCCCCTCCCTCGAACTCCATCATCGCCTCGAGCAGGGTGGAGAGGACGAGACCGATGAGGTCGTGGTGGAAGTGGCATGAGATGATGGCCTTGGCATTCGCATTGAGCACCCACGCCCTGAAATACGGGATCCATCTGCCCAGCTTCTGCGCCGTGATGCTCTTGGACCAGAACTCCTTCCTCGGCAGATGATGGTACCACTATTGTGGCGGGCACTGCCGTCACATGAGGACACGTTAGGAATTAGGAAACCAATCCACCAGGATAGGACCAGCATAGGTTTGGGAAATAGGAAAAATAGGAAAACAATCGCCAGCGACGACTGTAATCAGTGCGGGTGAATAGGACACAGGGGGTAAGCAAACACGTGGAGGGGTTGCGCCCGATGTTGACGCAACTTTAGTTTGTGCTGGGGCTCTCGGAGAATCGGCTGCCGCGAACGCGCAGCGCCGCATATCATGTTCAGGACATACACACTCCAACACGCTAAACAGTGCTTCAACCTCAAGTTCGGGAACCAGTCGCGATGCTCAGGAAGCCCAGGGCCATAATCGTGAAGAGGGCGCGGGGCCAGGAAGGAAAACGGGGGGGAGATGATAGAGGGGGCGGCTGGATCGGACAGGTCAGAATTCAAGGATGAGGGGGATTGAGGAAGTTTTCGTACTTACTATGGGCCCTTTGGGTGCTCTCTTACGCTTCTGGAAATATTATGCTGTGATATAATGACGTACCTGCGACAACCTTAAACCTTGCATGATTTTGGGGCCTGCTCGAATCATACATGGGGTATGGTATGGCCGTCTCGGGGCCCTCTCAGAGTGCCTCTGGATCGTCGTGGAAGCTCCTCGGGCTATGTTGGATCCTCGACGGCCTCGTCTGGGATGAAGCTTCGGCGGTGGGGATCATAAATGGCGGAAGCCATGCGGGAATAAACAAAGCAATGACAACAACACAAAGAAGAGGATAGAGCAAACACATCCGCAACAGACATCATTTTCCTCTGGCCTGCCGCGGTCGGCCCCGCGGTCCAGGCGCGGCAGCCGCCGCGCTCAGGCTGGGGTCGCAGCGGCCTTGGCCTTCGCCTTGGCGCCGCCGCTGGCAGCGCCACTGAAGCCCGACTTCTGCTCGAGCTGTTTCTGGATCATCGGGTGCAGGAGGCTGCTCGTCATCTTGAAGCCCTCGATGCCACCTGCGAGCTCCTCCTGCGACTCGCGCATGGCGCTGGCGAAGCGCTTCCTGATGCTTATTGGATTGGCGTATGAGTCCACGAGGAGGTGCAGACAGAAGCCCTCCAACTTCGCGCAGTGGCCCTTCCCGAAGATGGCCTTGGCATCCGTGAGCTCTAGCAGCTGCTCTGGCGTCATGAAGCCCTGCCACTGCGACTGGGGCACGCTCGCCCTGTTCATGGCAACGCACATGTCCGACAGGCTCTTGGTGAGGGCGTCGCCCTGCAGATCAGCGAAGATCGGCGTCGCGAACCCCGCGAACTCCTTCCAAGATGATGCCGTGAAGCCCTCTGGCCAGACCTTCAGCATCTCGTTGGCGCTGAGCTGCTGCTGGACGGAGCCCGCCGCCTTCGCCGGCATCTCTTTGACCTGGCCCAGCTCGCCCCCCAACATCTCGGAGAGCTTATCCTTCGCCTTGTCCACAGCCAGCTTCAAGTTGCCTGTCTCGGCGTTCTCTGGAAAGGCCTTCACCAGGTCGGCAGCGCACTGAACGTGCCAGGCAAGCGCATCCGCCTTGCTGATCGGTGCTGGAGCGGTAGGCTGGCCGTCGCCCGCAGAGTCCGCCACGTCGCAGAGCAGGTTCGTGAGGTCAGCAACTTTCACGCACACCTTGATCTTGCGCTTCTCGTCGTCGCAGTCAGCGCACCGCGGCATGATGAGGTCGGCGAGCTTCCTCATGGACGCCGAAATCAGGGTAGTAGTCATGTCCATGGTCAAGAGGGCCTCCGAGACCTTCCTGAGAGCTGGCACGGCCCTCGGCGGCGACAGCCGATTGAGGACCTCCTCCCTCTCGTGGTGGCCCTCGGCGCGGTCCAGCGCGCCCACCGCGGTCTCCTAATTGTCCGAAGGGGAATTAGGACGAGGGGGAAAGAGAGATGGATGAGGAGGAAGACGCCCATGGAAGGACACAGGACCCAGGAATGACCCAGGACCCACGGAAGGACCCAGGGCCCAGGACTCATGGGGGAGAGGATCGAGGCACAGGAAAGGGGAACGAGGAGAGGACAGAGGAGAGAGAGGAGGAGATAGAGGAGATAGAGGAAGGGAGAACGATGAGAGGAGAACGAGGAGAGGATAGAGGCCCAGGCTAGAGGGGGAGAGCGAGGAGAGGATAGAGGCGCAGGAAAGGAGGACTTCGAGGGAGAGGGCGAAGGAGAGACGCGAGGGGAGGAGAGAGAGGGCAACAAGCTAAGAAGGAGTGCGATGAGACCCCCTGGAACCTGAAACGAGGGTGGTGGGGAGGACGCTGAGGAGGAGGAGGGGAGGGGGAGGAGGAGGAAGAGGAGGTGGGGAAGGACAAGGGGAGGAGAAGCGAGGTGAGAAGGAGAAGGAGAGGGAGGAGAGCGTGGGAGGAGGAGGAGGGGAGGGCACGGGAAGAGGAGGAGGAAGAGGAGAAGGAATAGGTGGAGGGGGATCAGGAGCAGCATTACAGCAAGCCGCAGTCCTGCGCGTCGGCCCACGACATGTCCTGGGAGTCCGCGATCGTCACGAGGCTCGACTCGAGCTGGTTGTAGGCCGAGTGCGCGCCATCGGTGGCGATCCACTCGTCGAGGGTGTTGGCGCAGTTGCGAAACGCTGCTTTGTGTCCAAAGAGCTCGGCGGCCTTCACCATGGCGTTGCGACGATCCTGGATCCCGACCCTGAACCCCTCACGATCGCCGGACTTCTTCGCCTCCCCCACGTCGAGCGAGATGTTCTCCAGGTGGTAGATGAGGATCGTCTCGAACTTCGGCATCAGCTTCTGGCGCAGCGTGCCCAACCATGTCGTGTAGTTGTCCAGCACCCACGTGACCGTCTCAGTCGGCACGTCTTCCCTCTTCGCGAACTGATCCATGAGGCTTACGAGCTTGGGCCACTCAGTCAGGGTAGCTTCACGCGTGGTCCTGAAGTCGTTCAGCAGATCCTTCCAGTAGGGCATCGACTTGACAACTGTCGCCAGCGTGCGTGCCCACGGCTGGGTCTTGCTCGTCGGCTCCACCAAGGCATGGATGAATAGCACGTCCACGTTGGCATCGGAACAGTTGAGATACCCAGGCTCAGGGATGATGAGGGCCACCAACGCCTTGAAGATGTGCATCAGGGTGCCGATGACTTATCCGTATCCCTCGTCGATGTCTTCATCGATGAGGTCGAACCGTTGCAGCGCAGTTTTACACACACCAAACACCACATGGCTTCTCCCCTCAGCCTCGCGGCAAAGCGGGACCAGCGTCTCGTCGACGAGCATGTGAGCGAAGTTGTCGGCCTTCTCTCTGATGCTGCCCTCAACAGCTGACATGGTACGCTTGAAGGGGTCCCATTCGCACTCGGCGTCCGAGTCGAATAACGCCAGGGAGACGACGCAACCAAGACCCCGTCCAAGCCGCCTGCCTCGCGCTTCTCCTTGATGCTGCGCTTGACGAGTTCGAGCTTTATGTTGGTGGGCCAGTCCGTGCGCTTGTCCGTCAAGATCCTCATGTACCTGTGCATCTCGGTCTTCTCGATCGTGCGGGCCTGGCTGTGCAGCTTGGAGGCCGCGTCGCAGGCAGACAGGTGGTCGCGCAAGATGACAGATGCGTTCATGGACCCGGGATCTCCTGCCTGTTCCCACTTCTCGCACAACCTCTGCGCGGGGACAATGGTGCGCCCAAGATTCTGCCCCTGAAGCAAAGCCGTCAGCGGCAAGTTGAGAATGTACCTATCGGCTATGGCATGCTTCCCCTTGGTGTTCGGCGTGCCGCTGGGGTCCGATACAGAAGGCGGCGGCGAGTGGCCGCCGCCGCCGCCACCCCCACCGCCGCCGCCAGCGCAGGAGCGAGCCGAGGTCATGGCACCCGTGCCACGGTGCTGGAAGTTCACCAGCGTCGCTGGTGGCTGAGGCTGGGACCCCAGGTGTAAAACAGAATCACCAAGACCGTCGTCTCCGGCAGCGTCAGGACTCTGCTGGCAGTTCTGGCGCAGCTTCTGCTCCTTATCCTTCTTCGTCTCGGCAACGCGATGGCGAACATCCTCTTGGGCTCTGGGACAAGTGAATCACGTCAAGAAACAGGAGGCCCAGAAACCGCTTTTGCAGGGGATCAAATTACTTCCAAAGACCTTGGGGCCAGGGAATGAGAACATGTAATAACATGACATGCGTGTGAGGGGCACAACCCAAACCATTAAATATTACCTGCGACATACTACATCACTGAACGACTACATAACACCATGTGTACTAATATGCGAACATGTACCATACCATGTGTATACTACATGCACACACGACAGACGTACTTCATATACCAACCATAAAAGACATCCGACACCACTTCCATACAGACATACTACAGACAGACACACAGACATATATTAACGATAAACCACACATACCGACATATCTACGTACATACAAACATACAGACAGACAGACAGACAGACAGACATACAAGCATACCTACCTTCATACACCAAAAAGAACTTCCGACACAACTTACACACATACATACACGACTTACATACAGACATGATACCTACATTGCATCGTACAAAGAAGAAAGAACACAAGCGCAATTGCGTGAATGCTACATACCACCAATACCATAACACTACCACGGGTACACACTTGTACGCGGGCACGCAACATCGCACACAGCACGCCCAAATTAACGGCACGCAACGCACGCAACACGCAAACCAACCGACTCGCGAACGCCACAACTTTGCACGAGCGAAACCGTAAACGCGCAACAACAGGAAACCCGATGAGGCCAGCGAACAGGGTTGAAAAAAACAGAGGGCGAAACAGTACCCCTTGACCAGGAATGCTTTTCCATGTATATCGACAACACGAACACTGCCATTGCTACTGTGCGAACACAACATATGGGGGAGACGAAGGGGGGAGGGGGGAAAGACTTTGTCGCAACCGCATGTGACACGAAAACAACAACGACTGAAAGGCCACTGCGCTTCCAACAGTTCAGTTACTTCATCGCCACGGCCGGAAAACCCACGGGAACGAGACGCGGCGCTTACGCGAGAGCGCGCGTCGACAATCGACAGCGACCGATTGCGACGACGACGTTTCGCCCTTTGGGGCCCTAGAAAATCGCCATGCAACCCGTGCACAAGTATGCCAGACATCAATAAGCCTGACCGAAAACCTGTCCTGGAGGAGCCTTCGAGTCTCGGCGTGAAAAAAAAAGCACGGCGTTTCAACGTGACCATGCATAAGAAAACCAGAAGAGGAGAAACGCCGACTCGCGCGGTCGTTCGAACTATTTAAAAATACATGTCTGCGCGAGAGCGCACGCGACGGCGAGAGGGAGGGGGGGGGGGCACGACATGCTGCGAGTCCGGAAACGACTGGATGATGACACTACCTTCACAGAGCCCGCGTCCCCGACGCCGCCCCCTCAACCGCGCCCAACCCCATCGAACGGCGCACCCTTGCTATTTTCGCCATGACAACGCTGCGCCTTGCAAGCCCGCATTTCCCCTACACTCCCGCGCTCAATTCCCAGTGAGAATGCAGCGCCTTCGACAGTCCAGCCAAACGCACATGCGCCGCTCGAGCGTCCAACGCGCGCGCTTCCGATACCACCCCCCCCCCGCTCCCCGACTTCCCCCATGGCCACCGCCCCCTTGCCGATGAACTCACAAACCAAAGACGCGGCCACGCAGAACCATTCCTCGATGCGGAAAATAAAAGTGACAAGGACGGAGGAGAGCGAAGACAGCCCACATCCTCACCTACGCCCCTCACCACACCACCCCAAGAAAATAAACGCGCGCACGATGCGAATCTGAAAAGCGCCACTGCGCCGCTTGCGCTGATCTGCAAGCCGCAGTCAGGCACCGCTGGCCCGTCCCCGAAGTCCTGGTGGTTCGACATCTCCAGGAAAATCGCCTTCAACGGGGGCGTGTCCCACCACCATTGCAGGATCCCCAGGTCCGACAGCAAGGGGACCTTTAATAGTAGCGGGGGAGCATGCCAAACGATGGCACCCGCTGAAGGAGGATACCGCTGAAGCAGAATGACAAGTTCCTGGCGTTGCCTTCGCTGCGCCAAAGCCAGGCCCGCACGCGTCGAAGCGCCGCAGCAACCGCGAGAATACCTCGAGCGGCGCCGACCCCCCGAGGTAAAGGACCCCGAAATCGAAGCTCATGCGTTCCACCTTCTCGCGGAACCGTTGCGTTGGGGATGACGCAACCCCGTGGTCTTGAATGAAACTTGGAAGAATGGCGACGAGCAGCGCAGGCCGCAGCCGCGGCCATCACAATCAAACAGCAACAACCCCAACCGAACTTCTTATATTTGCATACCACGCGGCCGTCGACGGTCCACTCGCTCGCCCCGATGGGCCTACTTCGCGTGCCCTACCGAACGCTACCCTTGCAAAGTATGCAGCGCGCGCGCGGAGCCGCAGATGGCAAACGAGCTTCCCGACCCCGTTGCTGCGCCGCTGCGGGCGTCCACGTGGCCTCCGCGCTAACGCCTGGTAGAACCAACAAATAAATTACCCCCTGGCGGCCGCGGCCAAAGCTGCAAACTCGTGTGAAATCGACGCAAAATCGCCGAGCGCTGCCCCTTGCGGTGGAGCCAGGGTTCTGGAACTCCTGGAAGCGCGCCGACCGCGATCTCGTCGCTGCACGCCCGCGGGCGCCATGGGCGGCCGAACCCGCCGCCCGCGGCATCCTCAAAAAGCGGCGTCGGC